GTCACAGCCCTGTCCCCGCGCTCCTTTGCCAGGAACTAAGAACCTCGGGGGGGCATTTTTGGGGGGGGAGGGGGTGTTCTGCGGAGGGCACGGGGTGCTGCAGGGCTGCGGTGGCTGCTGCGGGCTCTGGCCATGATGTAATGAGAGCGGGGAGGGTCCGGCCGGGCCAGGGCGAGGGCCGCGGGGGCCAGTGCCTCCCCCTTCTGCCAGGGGGGCAGCGGGGTCTCCAACAACTTGCTGGTGCTGGCCGGTGGTGTGCCGGTGGATTTCAGCGTGGATTTCAGGCGGTTCCTCCCCCACCCTGACTGGGTGTTACTGCCAGAACCTAAACCCAGAAAAGGAATTTCCTATTTCTGCAGTAGAAATAGGAGATTCCCCTTTTCACTTGGATAGGAAATACTAGGATTTTTTTTTTTTTTCCCTTCTTGTGGTTGACCCAGGAAGTCATCTTGTCGCCAGCCTTCTGGGGTTTTTTTGCTCTAGAGGTGCAGGGAGGAGGGTGTTGCTTTGCTCTGGATCCTGTGGGTAAGCGTTGAAGGCAGTGACAGCAGCTGCTGTTGGCTCTGGAGCTCTGGTTGCTATGAGAGAAGCTTCAGTAGACTTGGCTGCTATCTCCAGGGAAGGACAGCAGAGCAGCCTCCATTAGTGTGGTGGTGGAGAGATGACTGGCTCATGTTCAGCAAAGGGCTTTACTTTTTGGGCCATTTCCACAGGCCCAAGGCAGAAGTGGGGATATGGTTTGGTCCAGTGGGACAAAAACCTACAAGGTGGGTTTGATAGCTGTTAGTGGAATTGCATTAAAGTGTGGGTTGGAAACACTGAGTTACCCTTTCCAGATATTTTGGTCAGTGTGAAAAGTAGGACAGGGAGAATTGATATGATCTTACTGTTAAGTGCAGGCTGCAGTCGTGTCTCTCTTGAACTCCAGTCTCCTTTCCAGCCAGTAACAGAGCCAGATGCTTTTCTTATTGTTTGTATGTCTCCTTCCTCCCCTTCCATCGCCTGGGCCCCACTTGCCTTATTGACTGGAATTTCTGCTGTGTGCAGTGGGTGTGTGCAGCAGACACCAGCCTGCTAGTGCTGAGGAGGGATTTTTCCATTCACAGACCAGGGAACAGTCAAAATAAAGGCCTGGTTCAACTTTGGGACTGGAAACAGAAAGCAGGGAGAAGAGTTTCCCTCCGCTGCAGAGTAAAATTTATCCTCTGTGCTTATTAAGTATTTGTGTGTCAAAATGTATAGAAAATGCTGCTCTGCTGTGGAATGGGGAGGTGAAACTCCTGTGAATAATGGGGAAGATTCCACTCTTTCAGTTGACTCAAATGCTTGATGAAGGAACAGTTTGCAGGAGGCCATTTTTGACGTGACTATGTATTGTGGAATCTGCCAGCTTCTATCCACACTCTGTCTACTTTACTGCAATAGCTTCCTTCTTTTTTTTTTTTTTTTTTTTTTTAAAGGAAGAATGAGTGCCTTTCTTAACTAACCATTTGGCACTGGCCGCTGTCTGTAAGATATTGTGTTGTCAAGTTGGAGCTATCAGCATATTCCAGTGCATTCGTTAAAGATGAAACTGTTAGTTGAGGTATGCAGTATGGGAAAGGGGAATACATTAGCATGAGAAAACAACTGCCATCTTTGTAAACGAACACCTTTAATGGGGAGCCCCTTACCCTGGCCTGAGTTACCAACTCAGAATTACTATGAGCTTGAAGCAGAAATTCCAGGACCAGAATAATGTGAGAGAGATTAAAATATATGCCCTTAAATCCGCTTGACTGGCAGCAGTCGTGTGGTAGATGCCAAACTCTGAGTAGCTTTTATATTTGAGCATCTGTAGCACCCGAATTGTTTCACAAAGTGGGGTGTGCAACTTCTAACCCACCTAAAATGCATCTGTCACTGGGGCTGAATGTGGTATCTGTTGCCTGGCATGGAGTGACATAGCAACAGCAGTGAAATTTGGGATTTTGTGAGTATGAAAGCTAGCTCCTTGCTTTAATAAATACAGCAAGTGATCTTCGTGGCCCCTTAGTCTTTGTTTACAGTCTCTCTGCACAGTGTTTACAGTCTCTCGTGTATGTTATAATGGGGAATCAGTCTGCTGCCTTGCATCCTGTTGAATAACTGGCATTGCTCTGACAAGGCCCCAGCCTTTCGTTTTTCTGTCATATTCAAAGTGACCTGAAAGTAATATTCCTTAGCTAATGTGTGAGATTTCCCCACCTCAAGGTGGGATGGTGAAATCCCACGTACATTTAAATCCCTTTGTAGGAAGAGGACTCAGTTACAGCCAGATCTTATTTGGAAAAGTAATGGGTCAAAGTTGGAAAAACTCATAGGAAAGAGATGGCATTGAACTGGCATCTCAGAACGTGCAAAAGTTTATGCTTTTTTTCTGGGTGGGAAAAAAACAACCAACAGCCATCGACTTGAATATTCCAAATGTTCCCTGAAGTTAAAAAAAAAGAGGATATTTGACTCAAACTCCCAGGTGCAAAGTGTGCAAGGAGAACTAAGCGTGATATCCCAGCCATGTACTTTATTAGTCTGACCGGTCTATTCTTTCTCCCATTTTGGATGATCAGACTTTAACAAACTTGTTTTGAATGATGTGATGAGATAAAAACGTTTCTATCTGGTCTGGCAATAGTAAAATAAACATAAGGAGCGTTCAGAGGCTTGGAAATTCAAAAATCATTCAAAAAACATTCAAAAATGTTCTCAAGGCAATGTCACTGTATTATAGAAGCATATTTGTGTTCTTACTCTGGTGCTGTTTGTGTGTGTAACACTGAAATCTCGTGTTATGTGCAGTATATAGGAAAGGTTGCAATAGGCAAAGGTTTTCTTATGTATACAAGATGTAGTAGCAGTACTTCAGCTGAAAGTGTTAAATATGCTTCATGTATGGTATGTGAGATACTAGGTCTCAGTTGCCCCTGTGAAACTTAAGCTGCTATTTGATTTTAAAATAAAGACTTTGTTGTGTTTTACTTTTTAGGGTTTTTTTTCCCTCTTCCAAAGTAAAAGAAAAATAGTTATGGATGTTAAAGCTGTTACAGGTTCTACACCCAGTCTTTGCCTTCCATGACTGACTTGGGGCAGGAGATAGTGCACAGTAAGTTTTCACTTATATTGCTAGAGACAGTTTTGTATAAATCTGGCTTCGCCTAAATCTTTTGCTTATTTTGATCATGGAAAAAGCCCCAGACTGTAATGCAGCAAGAGTTCAACATCTTGAAACTGTGGGAGCTGAGATTATTTTTTTTTCACTTTTTCTAATTCCTTATTGAAGTTGCTGGGGGTTTCTTGGTTTGGTTGTTAGTTTGTTGTTTGGTTTTTGGTTGGTGTTTTTTGTGTTTTTTTTTTTTTCACAGGATTTGCTATTTTGGTGGCAATTTTCCAGTATTCCTGTAGCAAATCAGCCGAGCGGTGGCCCCTGTCCCTGCTGAGCAGGGAGAATGTGCAGTGCTCTTGGCCTCCCTGCTGAGCTCACGCAGGGGTGGGACTTGCTAAGCTGCTGAAATCGCAGCTAATGCCCACTGAGCATGCTGAGAAACAGTTTTTCAACTGCTCCTAGTTCAAATTTTTTTTTTTTTTCTATAATTAGCAAAGATGCTCTTTGTCTTGAAGGATGATCTACGCGACGAATCAGGAGATTCTTGTTCATCGTCCCCCTTGCCCGAGCTAGTGGTGAAGTATTATTTTCCTGTAACAAAAATAGCTAAAGGGATTTTTCCCTCACTTCAAGTGATGAGTCTGAACTTGAAAAGCTGTAGCCCAGAAGAAGAAATCTGCAGTGAATAATAGCCTTAATGCTAGTTTTTGTTGCCACAAGCCCTATAGGAGTGTCAATATTGTTGTTTAAATTGTAAATCTGCAACTTTCTGATCTTTAAATCTAATTTAAATGCTTAAGCAGTAGAACAAACAAATTATATTTTTAAATAATAAATTTGAGAAAGAAAAGCTTTCTTGATGAGTTTTATTTTCCTTCTACCAAACACACACAAACCCCAATTATTTTAATGAGCAATATGGGAAATATTCAGAAAAGTGAGCTGATGTGCTCAGACTTCAAGGTGGAAAAATGTGGGAGGACTTGTCAGCAGTCTGAGTGGCAAGCTTTTAGTGAGCAGGAGAAGTAATTTCTTTTGTGGTCAGGAATCTAATAGTCCCACATTCACCAAACATGAAAGAAAAAAGGGGGAATGAAGAGGGAGGAACATAGAAGAGTGGCATTGAGAAATAGTCAGGAATTTGGCTTTTAGAGTGAAGTTTAGAAGTGATCTGTTGTTTATGCTAAAGTTTAATCCTTATAAACTTGATAACGTAGACAGGTCTTGCATTCCTACCCGAGGGTCATGGAAGGGCTAAGTTTAGCAAAGGGGAGGTATCCCAAGCAGTCAGATCTATGCAGTTTTCAAGGCAGCAAACTTTTTTTTGCTTATTCACCCATTCATTGTTCTAAATGAGCTTAGTTTTTGGTTTGTTTTTTTTTTTTCACTTACAAGCAGCCTTTTGAGACAGAATGTGAGTTTTTAAAACCAAAATGCTTAAGCCCTAAAATATTTCCAAGTAATTTCAGAGTAGAAAGGTCACAGTGCTTTTGATGTGTTCATATTTAGAGCATGATTACAATTGCAATCATACACATTGACAAGAAGATATTGTCTGGATTTGGTAGCTGCTCATTTAGTGACTCAGGCTTATTCCTGTTGTCCTTATGGAGCTCATACCAGGGTTTTCTTCTGCAGCCTTGCTGACTTACAGGACAAAACTTTTTCAGTGACTGTGCCAGCAGCCCAGAAGACGGTTTGAAGTTCTGATACTGGGAAGAATCCTCTTGACTTTGAAGCAAGCAGTTTGAAATGCAAGTTGTTGATAGGGAAGGCGTGTGAGACCCAGCCATCAAACTTT